GGGAATTCTGGGAGTTGAAGTCCACACGTCTTAAAGTGGCCAAGGTTGAGAAACACTGCCTTAGTTAGGAGTAAAACTGTGGTATCATGCTTGAATTGCTCTAGTAGTTAATGAAGGACTTCTGGTTAACGAAGGACTTCTAAAATACTAAAACCAGCAAGGTCTGTTTTTTTTAGCAATTGCTCTTATTAAACATTCTCCCATTATTACACAAGTCATTTATCCTGGTTAACCCATTTTCTGAGGTCAGCCTTTAATACCCTCTACTGCATTCTCACATGCTAAATCCCCCGAAACAAATCGATCACCAGTGTTAATACTCACCAAACTCAGGGTGTCGTATGAAAACAGGCAACTGGTTTGTAAATGTTGGGCTTTTCATGAAATCCTTGGTGTTTTTTTCAGTGCCGCCCCGTTGTGTCTCTTTCTTAGTAGAGTGTGATTTTGTTTTTTCCTCCAAATAGGCACATTCGCGAATTCTTGGCTCCTCCCGTTCTTTCCCACTCATCTGCTTTTTTCATTTCTGCCGCTTTCCAGGTGGGAAAGTTTCTGAACCCCCAGGAATACCAGCAGAAAATCATTCCTGTGATTGTGAAAATGTTCTCTTCCCCAGATCGGGCTATGAGGATTCGCTTGCTGCAACAGGTTGGCGAGATCCCAAATCAAATACTCGTATTTGGGGGAGCGGTTTGCTAGAGAAAGCAAGTGGGGTGACCTTGTCTCTTTCTATAAATATGCTTTAAATAAATTTAGTCCTGCGTGGGTTGAGCGGTTGAAATCAATGGGCTTTAAAGGAATTCTTTAAGTCGCCCAGGCAGAGTCTGGTGGCCTCCTTTCTTGCCATTTAATTTTTTTATTTTATTTATTGACTTAGTATTAAATTTATATGCTGCCCATCTCCCATGCTGGCTGGGGAATTCTGGGAGTTGAAGTCCATTTATTTTAAAGTTGTTAAGATCAAGAAACATTGCTTTAGAGTATGTAAAGAACCATGAATGCTAATCATTGCTGTTGTTATTCACTGTTGGTCCTAAACAGTTTATTTCTGCAGATTATGTCTGTCCAGGTTCACACAACAAGCTCAACCAGGTTACTGAAAGGCCTGGTTGCATCCACACAATAAGACAAACTTGGTCAGTTGTTAACCTGGCTTTGTCTTTTTCTGGCTCAGCTGTTGCACAGGCCCAGCCTGCTGGATTAATATATAGCGTAGCCCAGTGTTTTTCAAACGTGGCAACTTTAAGACGTGTGGACTTCAACTCCCAGAATTCCCCAGCCAGCAAAATAAATGTATTTTTAATGTATTTATTGACTGTTTTTAGCTTTGTTGTACGCCATCCAGAGTCGCCTGTGGTGAGATGGGCGGCTATATAAATTGGTTTAATAAATAAATAAATAAATTCTGGAAGTTGAAGCCCGCACATCTTAAAGTTACCAAGTTTGAAAAATACCGGTGTAACCTATTGTGTGAATCCAGCAAGGGGTTAATTCAGCAACCAAGAGCAACCAGGTTAAGCATTTGTGAGAATGTACCCCCTCCTTCTGTTATTTCCCACTGGGAAGAAAGAAAAGGTAAGAAATGAAACTCTTCTTCCCTTTGAGAGTTTCTTCTTTTAAAGGTGGAACTCATGCTTGCTTGCTTTGGGGGAGGTTGGGAGCACAGTGCGTTGTGTGAATGCAGCCTGTTGGGTTAGCGTATAGTTCCAGGGCCCTGTGCAAACCTATACAATGGATCTGTCCAGGGCGTTGTGTGAACCTGGCCTCTGTGTGCCTGGTGCGAGGGAGGGAGAGGCATTCTGGGTTGCATCCTGTGTCACGAGCACCAGCTGACTGCAGGTGTTTGCCCGCTAGATGGAACACTTCATTCAGTACCTGAACGAGCCCACGGTCAACACCCAGATCTTCCCCCACGTGGTCCACGGCTTCCTGGACACCAATCCAGCCATTCGGGAGCAGACGGTGAAGGTAAGGTGTGGTGATGTGATGTGATGTGATGGTACGTGAGAAAGACCCTGAGAGACGGGGCGAAGGAGCGGTCGGATAAGAGAGGGCACAGCCCACAGCTGCACAACGGGCGGAGAAAGAGGCTCAGAAGGGACCCTCCCTAGTTTCTCAGCCATAAAGGAGATGGGGAGAATTTTACTTTCAGACTTGCAAGATTCTTTACAGTAAAGTAGGATTAGCTCATCTGGTCGCGTTTCCTGTCTGGTCTACCTGGGAAGGATGGCAGGTGTGAAGAACAAGCTCCTTGCCTCCTGGGGTCCCAGAGCCCCTTACGTCCCTCCCTGCCGGGTGGGACAAGCAGCCTTTCATCTATCCCACAGGCTGTTCTGGGGGGGGGTGTACCTTTCACCCTAGAGGGCAGGACTGAAGCAGGGGGTAGGAGGAGCCAGAACCTGAAGTGGGTGGGGTCATCGATACTCCCCTTCGATCCCTCCTCCTTTCTTTCTCCGATGCTCGGCGCTCTTATGTCTCCCTCTGACACCTTCCGTATCTTTGGCGGAAGAAAAGGCCGCAGCGTGGCCCCGCTGGGCTATCGTGTCTCCTCCCCGGGGCGCCGCCGGGCTCCCTCCTCCAAGCCGTTCCCGTCTCCAAGCACCTCTGCCCTGGCACCCGTCCTTCCTGCCCTGGGCTTGCCCGCCCCAGGGCCTCTCGCTCAGGGGCCCCCGTCTTGTGTCTCCTCCGCAGTCCATGCTGCTGCTGGCCCCCAAGCTGAACGAGGCCAACCTGAACGTGGAGCTGATGAAGCACTTTGCGCGCCTCCAGGCCCGCGACGACCAGGGCCCTATCCGTTGCAACACCACCGTGTGCCTGGGCAAGATCGGGCCTTTCCTCAGTGCCAGCGTGAGTGGGCGCAGGGACGACGGAGCAGTGGCAGGCGAGGGCTTTCGGAGCAGGGGGGCCCTCCCTTGCTCAGAAGCCGTGACGCTTTAGCGGGAGGGCGTGGGAGGCTGGCCACCAGATCCCAAACCCCATGGTGGCTGCCTTCACACGACAGGCTAAGCCGTCCCCCAGTTAGGTTCAAGACCTGGCTGTGTGATCAGGCTTGGGGGTCCCGGGGGACCGGGGAGATTTTGTGATGGCTCCCTTACCAATATCCCCCTCTCTTGTCTTCTGTGCTTTTTATTTGTGACTGTTTTTATGGATTTATTGTTTTTAATTAAGTGTCACCTTTATGTGCGATGGGCGGCTATATAAATATGATCAATCAATCAATCAATCAATCAATCAATTTATTCATTGTTTTGACCACCAGTCATAACAAATAA